GAACAGCCATGCAAAGCAATTTGCTTACAATGAAGCAAAAACAGAGCACTGTTGTAAACGACACCCAGCACACAGTTAACCCTTTGATCGCCCCACATGTTAACCCCTTTCCCAGTGCCATTAGCACAGTGACAGTGCTTTTTATTAGCACTGATCACTGTATTGGTGTCACTGGGGATGTCAGTGACACTAAATCAGTTCCCCCCAGTGTCATGATGCCCGCCGCCATTACCAGTAGAAAAAAAAAAAAAATTCCCAGTATACATACCACCATATGTAAACGCTATAACTTAAACACGTAAACCAATTTTTTTTACATTTATTGGGATTTTTTTTTTTTTTAGCAAAGATGTAGCAGAATACATTTTGGCCTAAATTTATGACAGAAATTTTATTTAAGGTTTTTTTTATTGGACATGTTTAACCGTTTCAATACCGTGTGATTTTACCCCTTCCTGCCCAGGCCATTTTTCAGGTTTCAGCGCTCTCACACTTTGAATGACAATTGCGCGGTCATACAACACTGTACCCAAACTAAAATTTTATCATTTTCTTCACACAACTAGAGCTTTCTTTTGGTGGTATTTAATCACTGCTGGGGTTTTTATTTTTTCTAAATTAACAAAAAAAATTCCAAAAATTTTGAAAAAAATACACATTTTTCTTTGTTTCTGTTATAAAAGTTTACAAATAAATAATTGTTCTTCATAAATTTAGGCCGAGATGTATTCTGCTACATGTCTTTGGTGAAAATAACCCAAATTAGGATAAATTTTTTAGTTTGTAGGAAAGTTATAGAGTTCACAAACTATGGTATAGATCTGAATATTGATCAATCCTGAAGTACTGACGGCCAATCTAATTTCTTGAGGTCCAAGAATGTCAGAACAGTACAGATATCCCCAAATGACCCCTTTTTGCAGAGTAGACAGTCCGACGTACTTCATAAGAGGCATGGCGAGTTTTTTGAAGTTGTATTTTTTTTGTCATAATTTTTCGGAAAATGAAAAAATTAAAAAAATTATTTTCACTATTTTTTTTTTTACATATTGTCACCAGTGCAGTACAGCGTCATCATATAACTGGCATGGCGGTGAACATGGACACTGACTGGTGACAGTATGAAAAAAAAAAAAAAATATATATATATTTTTTTTTTTTTTTTTATATTTAATTTTTTATTACATTTTTTTAAAGATTTTTTTTCATATTTTACTATGACCAAAGTAGTACAATGTTACCATAGTAACATTGTACTACTTTGGGGGAGTGATCAGTTTTTTTTTTTTGTTTTTTTTTTTTTTACACACAGTTTGCTTATAGCAAAGAAATACTTTGCTATAAGCAAGCATTTAGCTGAATGAAATCGATTCATTCAGCTTTTTTTTTTTTTTTTTTTTTGTGCTTAGCTGTGATTTGGTCACAGCTAATCACATGACATGTGCATGTGACCTGCTGTGACCATTCACAGCTAGGCACTAGTATACAATGGATGGCATCATGAATGAAGCAATCCATTGTATACAACTATCATGTGACCTGCTGTGATTGGTCACAGCAGGTCACATGGTACCAGCTACGGGAGCCGGTACTCGGATCTGTCATCGGCCGTGTCCGAGGTGCACGGCCCGTGACAGATCCCGCTGCTGCGCCGCTCTGCTGTGCCGCAAACTGCGCATGTGCGGGAGCACGCCACAATGGCGTGCACCCGGAATACAGGAGCGCATTTGAAGCCGCCAAACGGCCATTGGCCGGGCGGCTAATGGTTAATAGCAAAAAAGTCAAAAATATTGTTTTTTTTTTTTCAAAATTGTCGGTAATTTTTTCTTTTTATAGCTCAAACAATAAAAACTGCACAGGCAATCAAATACTACCGAAAGAAAGCTCAATTCGTGGGGAAAAAAAAAGGATGTAAATTTCATTTAGGTGCAGCATTGCATGACCGCGCAATTGGCAGTTAAAGTAATGCAGTGACGTAATGCAAAAAAATGGTCTGGTCAGGAAGGGGGGGGGGGGTGGTAAATCCTCAGGAGGGCAAGTGGTTAGTAATCGGAATCTATGGCCTTCCTGGGTGGAGAGCCTAGCACTGTGCTGAGCAGCACAGTGTTCGTCAATAGAAGCACACATTCTGACTTGAGATCGAGCCCTAATAGCAAGCAGCTTGCTATAGAGGCACTCAAAAGGCAGGAGGAGCCAGGAGAGCCAGCTGGGAGCCCTAGAAGAGGAGGATCAGGGCTACTCTGTGCAAAACTTGCACAGAGCAGGTAGGTATAACATCATTATTATATTTTTTTATATCTATAAAAAAAAGAACCTTTACTATCACTTTAAGGGTGGATTTAGATTGTCAGTCAGCATGGAGGACAAAACCACTTTGTTAATATACAAAGAACAAACAGATGGATTATGTACAAATCTGCATGTGTAATACAATACACATATGGTACAGTAATGGAAAATGTTTAATAGAGCTGAACATTTATCACTCCAAGCATTTATACAGTGCTGACAATTTGCACAGCACTTCACATATATTGTACATTCACATAAAACTTTTTGCCCTCAAGATCTCACATGCATGCACACACATACTAGGGCCAGTTTAGACAGGTGCCAATGAACCTACCAGCATGCCTTAGGAGTGTGGGAGGAAACCAGACTACCAGGAGGTAACCCACACAAGAACAGGGAGAACATGCAAACTCCATGTGGATAGTGTCCTGCATGAGATTCAAGCGGAGGACCCCAATGCTGCCCAACAGAAGTGCTAACCACTAAGCCGCTTTAAACTATGGTCTCTTTAAGGCCTGTTCACACTATGGTGTGTTGCAGTTACCAAGCAAAGTGCTTTATGGCGCTGTGTTACTGCAGCCCATTCATTTTAAGTGGGTGCCAAAGTGAGTTTCAATCATCTATTGTGGAGCGCTGCAGTGGGCTGTGGAGCAGGTGCAATCTGTAGATGTGCATGGCAGCACAGTGCAATGCATCATGCTTGGTGCATTACCATGCGTAGCAGTAACCATACATTTAATAGCATGCTACCACAAAGCAATGGCGTGGATGGCCTATAAAGTTTGAGATCAGTGCAAGCCAAGGATTAAAAGTAAAGTTACTTAAGCACAATTCCATGCTGTAAAATTGGTGCCTCAAGTTGATCCTGATTAAATTCATTATTCTGAGTATGAACTGAGCTTGCTGCTATCTCTCTGCCTCCACCCCCCCAATTTTAGACAGCAAATCAGCATTATCACCCCCTGTCCATGAAGTACAATCTTCCTTAGAAGCGGTTATCCTGATGTAGCTGAGAAATCTTATGGACTTGCAGAGGTGTGGGTATGAAAAAAATGGCTGGACGGCATTACAGATACGTAACACTTTAAACAAATATCTATTTCAACCATGTAATTATCTGTTTAAATAGGATCTGTACTCTACATTCCTCTGTAGCAAAACCCCAAGCAACAAGAATTATACAGGGGCTCCAACTATACAAAGAGACCATCCCGATAAGGCCTGTATAGAGCTATCAATAAAATCACAAATATGCCAGCATATCAAATACATTATAGTATCAAATAAAGTGTGATTTATATATATATATATATATATATATATATATATACACACACACACACACATACATACACATTAGTAAATCTGCTCCACTATGCTTATTAGGGATGCACCGATATACCAGGGGCTGAAACATGTCAGCAGAAAATACTATTAGCATTTTGTCTATAGGAAAAAAGGTGCTGATAATGGCTTCTCTGCTTTTATTATAAAAGAAATGTGTCAAAGCAGCTCACATGCAAATTCGTATCCAATAGTGATTTCAATGAAAAATCGCATCTCAAAGATTTCAATGCAAAATCATGCCTCATAGACTTCAATGCAAAATCGCATCCTACAGAGTTCAATGTGAAAACACCCCCTAGTGACTTCAAAGCGAAAACACCCCCTAGTGACTTCAACGTGTAATTCACATGCCCCCTAGTGAATTCAATGCGTAAAACTTTCCCTAGTGACTTCAATGCGTAAACCCACCCCCTAGTGACTTCAATGCCAAAACACCCCCTAGTGACTTCAATGCCAAAACACCCCCCTAGTGACTTCAATGCCAAAAAACACCCCCTACCCCCCCTAGTGACTTCAATGCCAAAACACCCCCTAGTGACTGACTTCAATGCCAAAACACCCCCTAGTGACTTCAATGCCAAAACACCCCCTAGTGACTTCAATGCCAAAACACCCCCTAGTGACTTCAATGCCAAAACACCCCCCCCAGTGACTTCAATGCAAAAACACCCCCTAGTGACTTCAATGCAAAAACACCCCCTAGTGACTTCAATGCAAAAAACACCCCTAGTGACCCCCTAGTGACTTCAATGCAAAAACACCCCCTAGTGACTTCAATCAATAGCACTTCAAACCCCCCCCCCCCTTAGTGACTTCAATGCAAAAACACCCCCTATTGACTTCAATGCAAAACTGTCAGCCACAATAATTAAAAAAAAAGGTTTTTGGCCAAGTGCATCCTGAATTTTTTATTTTGCTACCAGAATTTTAAAAAAAAAAGGTTCGGTGCACCATTAATGCTTCTAGCTAACAGTTGTGGAAGAAACCCAAAAAGAAGGCACTTGACTTGAGTAAGGGGGCTGACTCTCCAAAATGTTGTTGGTCTGTCTCCACCTCCACCTTCATTTTATGGTCCTGTCCATTTTGTAGTGGATGTCTCCCTAACACTGTTTGTAGCACAGTTTGCTCACAGCTTCAGACAGCCACTCATGTGTCACAGTAGAGCAGATTTGCGGTACATTCTATACTTACGTATACAGATCACAATTTGCTATTTGATACTATATGTTTTTGGCACTTATTTGGTGTGCAGACTTATTTGAGTTATGATGTATTTAGCCATTTGCTTGGAATTCCACTTCATCTTGACCTTCCTGCTTGTCAGAACTTGGAGTTACTCATTGGCAAAACACGGAACTCACCCCATATTGCATCTTGGCTTTAGCCACAGCACTCCCAAAAGCAGTCATAATCATTTTGGCGCGGAGTTGGTCTGGCAGGAATCTTGCTTTGGTGCTACAAGGATCCAGAAGGTATATAGTATGTGGGTGGATGAATGGGCAACCATCTTTAAATCCTGTGGCAGAAGGATTACAAAAATCAAAAGAAAATATGGATTGGATGGATTATTGTATTGCATGCGGTGCAGAATAAGCAGGCTATTAAAAGGAAGCATTATTTGTACCAGTTCCCCTATAGAGCAATGTTTACTTTTTTCTTGCAAATCTACAATCATGGCAAAAAAAATTAAGTAACACTCCCAGAACTATATTTTCTAAAACAGAGGCTTTGTAGAATAAAAATATAGTAGTTTGCAATTTTTATGTTGCACAATACTTCAGCAACTGTTTATCAAATATTCAACCGGATATGACGCCAGGGCCGGAAGTGATATATCGGCCATCCCGAGACGGTGAGATACACTATAGTCTGTACCTGACGCCAGTTTTATGTGATGAGCGATTATTATGGTTTTTAAATGTGAGTGGTTTACTTTTAACAAAATTATGTGATGTGAGATACTACACCATTGGAGGGGTTTCTCTTTTTCCTACGTTTGTGTTGATTTGAGCTGGAGGAAAGTGTTGGAAGTTGAGAGAAATTTCCGGAGGTGGAATCCAATCACCATTATGCTGCGCCTTTGCCAGTCATGAGAGCGAGTGGCAATTGGGTCCGGTGAGTGATGTTTTAAAGGGAGATTGACCTGCACTCTTACTTTGGAGGTGGATTCAGTCATTTTCTCCATCGAGATGAGATGAAGCACTATTTGGGCATTTTATGGACATTTCTTAGGACTTATTTATTTTAATGATGTTTTATTTTGGATTGAATGTTTTATTTTCACATTTGTGTTACTGTAGAATGTTATTGGTTGCTTGGAACTGATGATCTTTCACCATTTTGATATTTGTTTATCAAGTATATATTTTCAGGAAAAGTACAACAAAATAAATTTTATGGCACACAAACACGATTTAACCCCTTCTTGCCGCTGGCTCCCAGCCCTTTAAATGGATCTAAATGCCAGGAGGTGGGCATTCCGATCACGAGACCACTGTGATTAGCAGTCACAGAGGTCACATGATCGCAAGTATGCATTGGGAGCTTTCTGGTACCCGCTCGTTACTGTACTGGGTGCCAGTGGCGTACCAAGGCAGGTGCAGGGGGTGAGCACCGCAATGGGTGACACCTACCACATGGGTGACACCGGACCCACTCCACGAAAAGGTAAGTTGTAAAGCAAGCTGACGATCCCCGCAGGATGGATCCGAACCATCCTGTGGGGATCGTCGGCTTTCTTTACAACTTACCTTTTCGTGGATCGGGTCCGGTGTCACCCCGTATAGGTTGCATGCCGACAATCCCCGCAGGATGGATCGGATCTGCGGATTGGGGAGCATAATGGATCAGAGTCCAATCCATTATGCTCAATCCGCAGATCCGACCCATTCTGCGGGGATCGTTGGAGGGGGTGTTATTAAGTGTTAACGCACCGGGTGACACCAACCCTAGGGACGCTCCTGCTGGGTTCGCACTCTCAGAGCAGTAAAGTGTTTACCTAGGGCCGAATATATGTGGCCACTCAGCAGTAAATCCCACCCACCAAGAGGCAGCATATAAATAAAGGATGAAGCAGTGCAGAGTAAATAGATATCAAATGTGCAAGCTACAAAACTGCATGTACCTGCAAAATGGTGAAAAATGATCGTACCCAAAATTATCTAGATGATGCTTTGAATGCCTTTATAGCTCATCAGTTTAGAGTTTCGAACTGTAAATAAGGGACTGAGAATTAACGCTCCCACTCTGACAATTGTGGTGATATATAACATGTGTGGTGCAATCACTGTTTACATACATGTGCGTACCCCCTGTGCTATATTTGCATTTACAGGTGTGTGCAGGGCAACAAGTTACTATAACTTTGTTTTATTTTTATAATTTTTTTTGTAATTAAATTTTTTATTAAAAGAGAAGTAGGGCTTTTTTCCCCTATTTATACTTACCTAGGTAGATGCAGCATCGGCCCCCTAGACTGTGAGAACTCAGCGATCACATGTCCGCTGAGTTCTCACAGCCGCTCTGAACACAGAGTGGGACTGTTAGTCACCGCAGTCTGCTCAGCCCCCCCCCCCCCGCGCTCACTGCAGCTCTGGGCTGTGGAGGGGGAGGGAGCGTCTGGCTTAGGCTCTCATCGCTTTGCTGAGAGGCTGAGCAAGTGCCACTTCAGGCTCTGGGGTGGATCCCAACTTTGAATTTGGGATCTTTCCCCAGCGCTTACCAAATCGCTAAAGGAAAGCGAATTATAGCAGATCACAACCGAATTCTGTAGCACTATCACCTGGGACTCCTAATTAAAATGGCCCCTGCAAAGCAATGGCATTAGTGATTTGTAGCAGTGATTAATCTTTGCTTCAAAATCACCTGTGTAACATTAGCCTTAAGACAGCCATACTGATTAAAATTCGGTCGGTTTAACAGAAACTGGGCAAAATTTCGATCCATCTACGAGCAGGCTTGTTGTACTGAATACGATCTCTTGATCGACATCAGTACAACCAGCCTGTCTGGATTTTTTTTTTGTGTGCGATCACTGCTGTTGGCTAAAGCCACCAGCAGTGATTATTGTATTCTGCTGGTGGGGAAACCTCCTGCTGTCAGAATACAACAGCACAGCAAGAGGAATTCTGCCATCAATACTGACAGTGTTGATGGGGGAATTGAGTAATTTTCTTTCCTTCCTGCTTAAAAGAGAAGTTTGGCTTTTTTTCCCCCTAGGTATACTTAGCTAAGTCTGATGCTGAATCTGTCCTCCGCTGGCTCTAAGTGTGGGAACTCAGTGATCATATGACCGCTGATCGCTGCATTCTCACCGCCGTGCTGAGCAAAGAGCACCGCTGTCTGCTCTGATGACCCCCCACCGGAGCACTGGGCTGTAGAGTGGGAGGGAGTGGATGGCTCAGGCCCTCAGTGGCTCGCCGAGAGGCTGAACCAGGTGCACTCCAGACTCTGGGGTGGATTCCAACTTCAAAGTCAGGATCTTTCCCCAACCTGGACTGGCATCAGCCCACTGTCAGCTGAAAACGGGTCACAAGTGTGCAGATCAAACTGCACTCCTGTGATCCATAGGAGAAGTACAGCCAAAAGAGCTCTAGCTGTACTTCTCTTTTAACCACTTGCCTACCAGGCACTTATACCCCTTCCTTACCAGGCCAATTTTCAGCTTTCAGTGCTGTTGCACTTTGAATGACAATTGCACAGTCATGCAACATTATACCCATTTGAAATTTTTATAGTTTTTTTTTCACAAATAAAGCTTTCTTTTGGTGGTATTTAATCGCTGCTGGGTGTTTTACTTTTTGCACTATAAACAAAAAAAGAGCAAGAATTTTGAAAAAAAAAATTTCTTTGTTTCTATTACAAAATTTTGCAAACAGGTAATTTTTCTCCTTCACTGATGTGTGTTGATGAGGCTGCACTGAAAGGCAGCACTAATGAAGTGGCACGGATAGGCGGCACTAATAGGTGGCACTGATGATGGGTACTGATAGTCGGCACTGACTGGTGGCACAGCTGGGCACTGACTGGCGGCACAGGTGGGTGACACTGATGGGCACAGGTGGGTGGCACTTCTGGGCACCGATCATCTGGGCACTGATGATCAGTGCTGATCCCTGCTCTAACAACTGCTGGTTCTTGGCAGTACTTTCCTCACGCTCTGACAGCGTGAGGAAAGTGCAGCCGAGAACCAACAATTGCATTTTCGGTGACCAGCGTGTCAATAGACACGGCTGATCACGTGGTAAAAGGCCGCTGTGATTTGCCTTTTACCACATCACGTGATCAGCTGTGTCCGTAGGACACAGCGATCACGCAGATCACCGGGGGCGTGCAGGAGAGCGCATTCTGGGTGGACGTCATATGACGTCCACCCAGAACTGGCCGGCCGCAGTACAGCCGTCATTTGGCTATCTGCGGTCGGCAACTAGTTAATGTATGGCCAGCCTTAAAATATATATATGAGCTTCTTCATATCATACTCTTATTCCTCTGTAAAATGTTTACAGAATTATTATTTTTTGCACTGGGCAAGTGATATGTCACTTTAAAATTAGAAATGAACATATAGCTGCCCTAACAATAAAAGAAATGATTTTATTCAAATTAAAATATTTTATTCAAGCCCGTCCTGCTGAAGCTGGGAACTATACCTAGATGATTTCGTTCCTCGTACACGTTCACCTCCTGCAGATCGATCATCGGAGACAGCGGGTATACGGAATCCAGGCCTTGCTGTTCTGTGTCTTGGATGTCGCTGGGCGAGGCCTGGGGCTCTAGAGCACTTTTAGCGCTCATCACTACACCAGTGAGTCCTCTCACAAGAAAAAGAGCAGATTCTGCAGAACAGACACAAGCTTCAGTTTAAAAACAGTATAACATGTAAAAAATACATCTCTTAATGACTCCACAAGGTCAGAGAATTGCTCAGGCTTCCACTGATGACCTTTCCTTATGAAAATGCTAGTTGCCTGCTGTCAGGCTGATTCATTGACTTCAATATTGTGAGTCGCTGACCAGGAACAAACAGGCCAATTAAGAGTTCTGTTTTCATTTGCTCAATGCTAATTAATTTTTGGTTATATAAAACAGTGTTGCACTATGGTATGTTTTTGTTTTATTTTGCACAGATCTGGAGTTTAAAGAAGCATAATACATGGAAGGAACATGTCACAGACCAGAAATTTGAGGAGAGGACTGCCGATAATCTGCATTTCCTGTTTACATGTGATCAGCTGTGATTGGACACAGATGATCACATGGTAAAGAGCCTACGTCATCGGCTCTTTACCACGATTGGTGATCTGCTTTGTCTGAGGGACACAGCACACCAATGATTGCTGTGGGCCCACGCAGGCACACATGCACAGCAAGAATGGGAGGGCATCAAATGACGTCCTCCCAGAACAATAGCGGTCCGCCTGGCTGTCAAAGTGCTATAGGCGGGGCGGGAAGCAGTTAAATTCCTATTCTGGGCAAAATAAGTAAACAGCAAGGCTGCCAACATGTAAACTGCAGGCACCTGGAGGTGGCCAATAGGAATGCCTGGTTGGTGGCAAGCAAGCTCCATCACAAGGTCGTATCAGAACGTTGCTGGCTCAGAGCAGCCCAGCAATCAAGTTTGCAGAAAGCAATGAACCTGCTGCAGATATAGAATAGATGTGTTTCATCTGGAGAGATTTGCCTTCACTTCCTGTCCTGGTAACAAATCTCTTGCACACACTATATTACTTGGTCTTCATGTGTGCAATTGTTAGCATACGTTGTGTATAGTTTTTTCAAACAAACATGGTTCATATACATTTTTTAGTGCCAGCTCCCTGTTGTAGGCTCTCCTATGGGACTTACCTCTTCTCCAGGATGCTGCTAGGCAATAATTTTCTATAACACTCCTTTCAGAGAGGCCAGGATATGAACAGCTTTGGGTCAGGCACAAATGCAGAAGACCTTGCAGCAGCCTTGGGCTTAAGGATTAAAGGAAAATGATTACAGTCTTTAGTATAAACAAATATTCTGCATAAACATAAAAATACACATAAAATGCATACAAAAGAGCTGTACTACCTGTACTGGACAATGAAGGAGAGGCAGCATACTGATGAAATCATCTCTCTGTTACTCAGCTATCTCATGTTCAATGAGCAATATGGAGACATGAAAGCCTAATTGTACAAAAACTCTCAAACGACAAAGGCTTTCTTTTTTTTTATGTAGATTGTTATTTATTGTTTCTGATCATGTGCAGTCTTTTGCATCTGATTTTTCTCGTATGAAAACAGTACAAATTAAACAAAAATCGTTTGTTCTGTTCGCATGCTAGAAAAAAGTTTGGAGTTTGTCCCCTCGGAAAATTTTGTTTGTAAAGTCTGAATTGCATGTTAAAAGCTGTGTACACACTATACGAAAATCGAACAATTGTTCCTCTTACGGAATTTTGCTTCTAATTTTCTTATAGTGTGTTCCCAGCTTAAGGCTTCCATTGCTGAAATTGTTAGTTGCCTGGCTGTCTCTGGCTTCAATACCAAGCCCCTGACTGGGAACAATTAAGCATCACACAAGGTTGAAACTTCTGATCTGCACTTTCTCCAGGCCAGCGACTGCAAAAGTATTGGATAAAGTATACTGGATCAGCATAACCCACAAGAAACCAGCATGTCTAGCTGGAGAGCTCACTGGTGGCAACCTGAGTATTTTGCTCAGTATCCAAGAATGCAGGTAACTTGGTATCCAGGGAAAATAATTGTCCTGTGAACATCAGGTGTTCCCAACCCCGCCCCCTGTAATCCAGAGACTCTAGCGCAGGGGTGTCAAATTGGTGGCCCTCCAGCTGTTGCGAAACTACAAGTCCCATCATGCCTCTGCCTTTGGGAGTCATGCTTGGAACTGCAATCTTGCAATGCCTCATGGGAGTTGTAGTTTGGAAACAACTGGAGGGCCACCAGCTTGACACCCGTGCTCTAGAGTCTGTACATGCTGGAATGATGTGACAAGAGGACGTATTCTCAAGACCTAACTTGGTCGGTCATGGTGTGACACTCACCAGTACTCTTCTTTGGGTCTCTGGTTCTCGATGGTGCTCAACAGGCAGGCATTGGAAATTGTATTGTGCACCAGCTCTTCATGGTTTGGGAATGTGTATGCCGGATCTTCATATATACTCCTTATACCCTGTGGCAAGCCTTCAATTAAACTGGATTTGGTCAGCCAGAGGGCCTGCTTCACACCTAAAGGGAAAGAGTTTAGTTTCACCTGGGGGGTTTACCACATAGGACCAGACAAATATTTACAGGTTTATTGAATAGGTGCAAATGTATTCATTATGTGCAAAGTACAGGCAGCCATAGCAGCTGGTGAAAGATGAAATCTGATTAGTTCCATAATATTGAATGATGGAACTGAAATTTAAATGGTTGTAAACCTTGTACATGAAATATGAACAAAGCATATCCCTCTATAGTCACTTTTCTCAATCCAGAACACTAAGAGTCATTTCTGTCTGCAGCTTTCTTCTTCTGTTGTACAAAAAATGGCCACTGCCCCAGTCTATAACCGGCCTTCACAGCAAGGAGCACATGGAATGGTGACACATGTCAAACAACAAAACAGGAAATATTCATGGTTCAACTTGCTGGCCAGCCTGCAAACAAACCGAATTTACCTGTCTATCAGTATGCGTTAAAAACAGGGGTTTAGTTAGCACACATTTGGAAATACATGCGTAAGCTACAGAGCCACGTCACGGCACCCCGATATTCTGTAGTTTTATAATTCTACAAATTTTAAGAGCCCCCATAGTAGAGGCACATGTATTTAATGGATAGACCAAGAGAAGTGAACCCGAGGGAGCCCACCCCTCCTTAAAGGTACAGGAGCGCACTGGACACCCAGCATGTAGCACAATCACACGTCTCTACTATGGGGGCTCTTAAAATTTGTAGAATTAGAAACTACAGAATATCGGGGGGTGCCATGATGTGGCTCTGTAGCTTACGCATGTATTTCCAAATGTGTGCTAACTAAACCCGTTTTTAATGCATACTGATAGACAGGTTAATTCGGTTTGTTTGCAGGCTGGTTGGCAAGTTAGAGCTGGGAATGTTTCTGTTTTGTTGTTTGACATGCATCGCCATTCCATGTGCTCCTTGCTGTGAAGGCCAGTTATAGACTGGGGCAGTGGCCATTTTTTGTACTGTTGAATTGTTGGTAAGGGGGCATACTGGATACCCTAGCTGCCATTGTGCTACATGCTGGGTGTCCAGTGCGCTCCTGTACCTTTAGAGAGGGGGTGGGCTCCCTCGGGTTCACCTGCCCTTAGTCTGTCCATTACATACATGTGCCTCTACTATGGGGGCTCTTAAAATTTGTAGAGTTAGGAACTACAGAATGTCGGGGTGCCGTGACGTGGCTCTGTAGCTTACGCATGTATTTGCAAATGTGTGCTAACTAAACCCTGTTTTTAACACATACTGTAAGGCTACGTTCACACTAGCGTTATGTGCAGGCGGTAGAGAGGCGTTTTTACCGCTTCCCAAACGCCTCAGACAATTCTGCACATTGCAGCACATGGTGCTGTTCTAATGGGAGCGTTAGTGTCGCAGCAAAACGGACGCCTCTGGTCGAGTCAGGAGGAGTTGAAGCCTCCTATTCTAGTCTATTTTGCAGCTTCGCAAACGCCCGGCCAGCATTTGCGGCATGTTTGCGGAGCGGTAACACCGTTTGAAAGTCATTATAGGCGTTTGTGGGGCGGTTTTAAAAACGCTCGTCAAATGCCTAGCAACCTCCGCTAGACTGACACAAAGGGAAAAATGGTGATGGGGAGGGACCTCCAGCAGCTGACAACACTTGCAGATGTGTGTGTGTGTGTGTGTGTGTGCGTGTTCCTGCCAATCAGCTCTCCTCATTGAGCTCTGCAGTATTTAATTTAATCTCTCTGTCCCCTTTTTTTTTTTCTGAACTCTCAGACAAGCTTTATAAATTCAGCACTTTGAATGGAAGCAGATAAGGGAAGACCTCAAATAAACAGGTACACCTTAAGTAGGAGGATTTGCTTCCTCTGTGTGTACCAACTGAGGCCAGTCACTTCACTGGGTGTATATATAAGGGTTTACAACCACTTTAAATACTGACGTGTCAGCAAACCCATTTTTTGGGGGTAAATATCTTTAAAAGTCTGTTCTCCATCTGTGTAGAGAACCTTTGCACATCTTTAAATACCTGGTTGATTGTTTTCAATGGACTTCCCTTCCCTAAAGCTGGCCATACATGCAGCAAATTTTGGCAAGTTCCTCATGAACTGGCTGAAATTTGAGATCTGAAAATCAAAAGGAGTCAGGTGGAGAATTGTCAGCCAAACAGTAGTTGTGTCCAATCAGAAGCCGTCACCATGGGTGGCAGCTGTCAGAATACAATAGTCGTCAGGGAAGGTTCCTCCAGTCAGGCTGTTTTTGCATGAATCTATAGATTTGTATCATTCAGCACAGCTTATTGTGGCAACTGATCCTGTCTGCAGACAAATCCAGGGCCGGCTTATCAACAGAAAAATATCAATGGAAGATTTTCTAAACTGTCCGCTCAAATCTTCTCCACCAGTTCTCCTCATTGAGAAGACAGTCATGGAGCAACACACTTTTCACCGAGTCCTAGATATGGCTCTCCCTCTCTGACAATAACAGGGAAGTTCAGGAAGCACAGAACAGGTTCTGGATAATTCAGGGCAGTTCTTTTCCATGTCCTTGTTGGGAAGGTTTCTCCTCACTTTTCTAGAACAAGCTCTCTCAGCAACACAGAATGCAGATAGA